TTTGGAGAAAAAAAAAAAGACAGCAAGCAATTGTGAACCCATGCAGGTAAATGAATTGATTCGTTTTCCAGGTGCGGTTTTTTTTGTTTTTGTTTTTACACGCACAGTATTTGTCCAGTTTGCGCGCATAATGTCTGGAAACAACTGAAGGACGCGCTGCAGACTTTTGAAGTGGAGTTTTGTGTTTTTGGCACCTCGCCACCTTCACATTACTGTTCCCGGGCTGTAATGGTGCGCGCAGAGGGGAGAGAGAGCAGCTGTCTCGGCTTGCTTTTGTTGTGGATCTGCGCTGAGGGACCAGACGTCCCCCTCTCTGTTTTTTTGGACCATCCACCTGACTGCATGCCTTAGGCGATCATAACAACAACAGCAAGAGTAAAAATAATCTAAGAACTCACAGATTACAAACATAATTGCTTTCACATCGCCTTTTTTCCAAACTGAGAAATCCTCGCAGAAAACAATCAATAGTAAATCATCTGATAACTTTATTCTAAAGTGCAAATAAAATCCGATTACGACTTGCAGCGGCTCATTGTCCAACTCTTTTGTTGAAGATATGCTGTCGGCTATAAAGCTATAAATTTGACGAAGAAAGCAGAAGTGTCATGCTTTTAATTAAAAATGTTATTTATAGCAGAAAGGAATGACCATGGAATAGGAAAACATCAACAATCCACGAAATATTTCAAGCAGCAACTTGGAGAGTCGTCATTTATCTGATCGTTTACACTGTAATAAATGCATCACATCTTATGCATTAAAAATAAACACGTTTAGGGTATTTTGCTAACCGAGGACAAATATAGATTTACCAGAACCGGGCTCGGTTTTGGGTTTAACACAACATATTAAGTTAAGTGTTCAATTGAAAAGATGAATTTGAGTAACTAAGCTCTACATTAAGACAAGAAGGTTGAAAAATGACTTTAAATGGGGCCTATTTTTATGGACTTCATCACCAATTTTTTTGGTCAGTGGTAAACATTTCACTTACTTGTGCAAACTACATAAAAGGTAAAAGTTTAAATTTAGATTTAGTGAACAACCTCTTTAATGCTGTAGTGAACTGATAGCATTAGTACAACCCTCTGACATTAACATAATCATACAACATAATTTTAACACCAAAGGGATGCAGGAAAAGTACATTTCTGTTTTCCAAGAAACAGTGTGTCTGTTTGCATCCTGTAAGGACACATGTTGGATCTCAGGGTAATGAGTGTCTTTCTGCTCCATTACCTTAACGTAACGGCAGAAAAATTGCTTGTTTGATGCCAATTCTTGGAAACAGTGACCCAGAGAGGAAAAAAGAAATGTAAATGGATTGGAGTCACTATAATCAATTTGTGTCAGTGGTCTTGACTTTTAAAATTATGTCAAACAACTAATGGCTGCACTTTAAAATAAAATAATGCATCTTTATTTTAGGTTTAAACTAATGTATCATTAGTAATCAGCAAAGATGACTTTCTGCAATGTCCTTTTGCAAAAGTCTTATTGTCGACACACATCGTTCAAGAACAACTGTAGATAAATGAAATAGTCGATTAAGCTTTTAATGAGTAAGTAAGACTTTATTATCATTAATATTAATGCTTAGGTTAAATAGTAAAGAAATGAGGACAGAAATCTATGCAACACCAAACAAAAGGTCAAAGAAGCAAAATCCTGCCATATATTAAGAAATAAATAGATGTTAATACAATAAATAAAGGAAATATTAATAAGAGCCTTCTATAATGCAGGCTACAAGAAATCCACTTCTTTAGGGAAGTACTGAGAAAAGGTCTGAGTCATCATAGCACACCTAAAAGCACTGGAACAAAACCGCCCCACTTCTTTGTCTTCTGAATATCTATAAGATACATAACAGAGGATGGTCTAACAAAACGGACAACTAAGATCGTCGATCCACCAGTTCACCACGGCCTCCACATCTCCAGCATCCCCAGGTGTGAGCTGTGGAGTCCTGGCCTCTCCTGAAGCTCAGCGACCCGACCGGGTGGATCTTCTTTCTGATGTCGCCTCCCAGCCGGGGCGTCCCTGCGAAGGGGTGAGGGAGGGAAACCTTGGCTGGTCCAAAGTGGCACGTCCTGCCTCTGTGTGGGGCGGCTCAGCTCTCGGTTGGATCTGGGAAGGGACTTGAGAAGGTGGTTGAGGAGCCGGGAGCCGAGGGTCTTGTCCATCCAGTCGCAGGTGAGGAGCATGTTGTGGACCTCATGCATGCACTGGATGTAGCCTGTGCTGTATCTCTGCTGGGCCTCCAGGCCCGACGTTGGGTCTGGATGAGAAAGAGACAGAAAAACAGAAGGAGTTAGTGCTGCAATGAGCATCCAGTGTCGCATTTATATAAAGCCCCAATATGCTTGTCTGAATAAAAAAAAAAAAAAAAATTATAAAAAAAATGTTTTTCATATTATGCACACAACATTAGTACCTTCCTCAATCCCCTGTTGTATCGAATCCTGACCTCTGGTGGAGGATCCATGTACTACACCTCTCAAGTAACATCTCTATTCATTAAATATTTTTATAACTTTACTTTTTGTAGCATTTAGATCTAGACAACAAGACAGTAAAATGTGGAAGATTGCAGAAAATAACAGAAGAAACACAAGAACTGCAGGTGTGTGTTGTTAAAGTTTGGAACCGATTGGGAACAAAGCTCAAGCAATGTACCAATATTCATCAATTTACATCAAGATAAAGAAATATTTGGTCACAATAATGGCTGCTAACAGGGGGTCTGATTGGCTCAATGATGTATATTTGTATGTTACGACTATGATAACTATATATTGCATATGATGATTTATTTTTGTACATTGCTATTGATGTAGAAATGCTCATAAGACAGAAATAGTTAGGAAGCAGTAAATGGCAGCAAACACATAATTTATTAAGAAATGAAATCAAAAGGTGAGAGTGAAAAAGTTTTTCCTCATTCCACTCTTTTTCAAGAATGTTTCTTTTCTCCTCCTGTATTTTACACTATATTTATTCTATTTTATTTGTACCAAATGTAAAAAAACAATAAACTAAGAAAGAACATATATATATATATATATATATATATATATATATATATATATATATATATATATATATATATATATTTATTTATTTTTTCTTGCTTGGGGCTTTAAGCGGCCATAAGTAATGCGCCTATGCTGCCCTCTGCTGCCTAATAGTAGTAGTGTGGCTGTAGCTCAGATTGCTTTCGTTTGGAGATTTTTCTAAGTTATTACAAGCGAACACAGTGGGACATTTTTACAGAAAATATAGTAAAATATAATGTTTTTTTTTTAACAATAAAACAATAAACGTGAAACCACACGTGTCAAAAACAAGCCTAAACTTCCTCACCATTCAGTTTATTATTCTGGATGTTCTGTAAATGTTTCACCGTCATCTCCAGGATGTCTGCCTTTTCCAGTTTGGATTGCTGTGGAGAAGAAAGACGCGCAAAAATAATAAAAAAACAACAACAACTCTGCTTTGCTTTCTTTAAAGAGCAGATGGGAGACACGTGTTTGCGCTCACATCCAGCCTAAAGGCTCCGATCACAGTTTCTTTCAGCTGATCCAGACAGTTGTTTATCCTCTCCCGTCGTTTCCTCTCTATGAGCGGCTTCCTCAGCTGGAACAACAACATTTCATGAAGCCAAGCAGCACACCAATGAGTATAAAAACACGATACTACGTTAAACGGAGCGATACCTTCCTCTCCTCCTTGGCTCTGGGGGGTTTCTCCGCGTTGTGCGCCGCAGAAGATGAAGTCATGTTTAACCCGGTGTGCTTCTGTCCCTTCTGAGTCTCAGCGCGTCTCTAGGGTCCTCGGCGCGCCACGACCCTCTTATTTATAGGCCGCGATTAGCATGTGAATAACCCAACTCTTTGCCTGCAGGATTTTCCCACACACGGGGTCCCCATCAGTCAAGTCTGACAGGTCACTGGCTTCATTCAGTGACCGGCAGAGCCCAAAAAAAAAAAAAAAAAAAAGTCTCACCAGCAACAGATGTCCAGCCTGAAACCAAGCACGACCTTCCCCCCACACAACAGCAGAAAAAAAACCCAGAGTTTCCCTTTTCTCCCTGTGTTGAACAAGAAGGTGCAATTACCTTGTTTCACCCTGGGGAGCCCGGGGCCCATTCTCACAGTGAGAGCAACATTAGACTGCTCTGTCTGAGGAAAGGCCAAAACGAACTTCCTCAAGGCTCACTGCCACACAAGAGAGACAAATCACCTACAAATGGACTGAAATGGTGAGATTTTCTAACAATATAGCCTCAAACTCAGTTTTTTTTTTACTGTGCACATTTTCAATTTAGCCCCTTATTTGATGTTCCTAAATAAAATCCAGTGAAACCAATTTACTTTAAACCTGATGATCTGAGACCATCTGTGTTTAATTTAATCTAAGTCTTAATCATTTTATTTATGTATTTATTTTACACTTTATCAACAATTTACAACAAATTCTCAAAAAAAAGTTATTCCAGTTCAGTCACACATCCCAGTTGTTCCCCTTTCCCAAACAGTGTTAAGTTCATTATTCAAATCAGTTTTGAAAAGTTTTCTAAGTTCAGATGAGACCTAAACTTCATTCATCAAAAAGACTGAACATACCGTTGCCATGGTGAAACCTGACGGTGGCAGCATCAGACTGTGAGGATATCTTCAGTTTGCAGAGTCAGAGTAAATGCTCATAATAGATGTCAAGATGAACATAAAAATACTGGAAGAAATCCTGCTGCAGTCTGGAGATGTTGGTGAAGGGTAACGTCTGAGTAGGACATCTACTCTAACCCTAGATCAAGATTTGCTTATGTGTTAAAATGGCCTAATCAAAGTCCAGACTTAAATATCAGAATTTCTGGCATTCTTGAGAATTGGTAAGAAGCCTTCGTCCAAGCTGATAGACAAACACTTTAATAAAAACTTAAAGTAAGAACTCATGGGAGTGAAAGCAAACGTCTCATACTTTTTAGAGTTTTATTTGTACAAAACATTTGAAACAACATTTTCCTTTACAGTTATGGCAACTTTGTGTTGGTCTATAATTCCACATAAATACACTGATGATAATTGGTGTAGTGTGTCACGATCTCTTTGAAATCCACCTTGATCCACAGTTGGAAGAATAAGGGGTGTCTTCACTTCTTGCTTTGATCATATTCTGAGCTTAAAAACATTTCCGGGTAACATTTGCCGCTAGCAGATGTCAGACCGGCCAGATGTCCTCTCCCCTCGTCTCACTCACCCCCTCACCCCACCTCAAAGCTGGGGTCCCCTGTATCAGAGCCACGCGACTGCCAGGCGAATGCCGGGTCGTGGGAAACCGGGCCGGACAAAAGCGTGCATTCATCTGAACCTAATCAGCATGAAGAAAGTAATAACCTTCAGAGTGTGTGGACAGTCCAGCAGGAAGAGGAGGCTGAGGGTCTGACAGGTGACCAGTTAGGACAGAGTCCTTAGGAAGTGTTGTGGCCACAAATCCATCATCATCCAAACATTTATAGGATCATAATTTAAATGAAAAGCATAATTTTGAGCATATTCTCTGAAATGACCCTCTTATCTTCCATAACAAATGATCAGAGAGTCTTAGGTCAATAACTGCTGACAATTAGCTACCATAGCTGTGGATATGCTACAAAGCTCTCCATTATGATGTCATCAGGTGACTCTGAATCCTGCCAAGCACGAAATAGATGCTTAAAGTAAATTAATGCATGAATGTGGCAAAACTTTCTTCAGCTGAACAGAAACAAAACTAAAGGAGGAGCAACCAAAGTCCAGCACATAGGACAGTTATTACAGCTAGCAACAGCTAATGAGGCCCAAACAGATGTAAAACTCAGACCTGAACTTTCAAAGACACATAAAATCAATTGCAAAGTCAGTCTTTTATCACCCGAAGAACATTAAGATTAAAGGATAAATATTCCAGCAAAATATCATCCATGCATTTATATTTAGTTGCATTGATTTCTGCAACATTTTAGACAAAAAAAAATTGGTATCGGCCAAAATCAGAATCAGGTCAGGAGTTTTAATAGATCTGTGGTCGGCCAGAAATCTGCAATCAGTGCACCTCTAGTTGTTACCCCTTTTTCTTTTTGTCTCCTTTCTTTTCCAAGTGAAACGTCTTCCCATCAGAATGTTTGATCCATTTCAGCTTGACGTCTTCAAAGCCATAGTCCTTCAGTTTGAGGTTCAGCTGGAAGAAATAAGAGGACAGGATTTAAAGTCTCCTCAACCCCAAACGTCCTAAAGAACAGCCATCTGTTCATCTCAAACGTGACATTTATTTTTAAAATAGGATGATACATATCAGCTGCACAGATTATATAAAGTAAAAGACATGAAAGTTTTGTACTGCCTGTAAGCAAATAATTACACAACAAAACATAACCTCTGGAAATCAGAACTTCCCCTTATTTACCTGCTGCAAAACGGCATCCTGCGATTTTTCCAGGTCCAACGAGGAATCTGATTTGGACAACATAATCTTTACCACCCTCATCTTCTTAGGAGGTCCTAAAGGATTAATAAAAAATAATCATGAAGATGTCTATAAAGACATTTACAGGTGAGAGAAAGTTTTGAGTTTTGGCACCAGTGGTTAGATTCTTTTTTTGTAATTAATTAGGTTGGATAATAATTAATTTATCCTAAAATTTTTCTAATTTTGAACAAAGCTGGAGGCCGATGGTAAGTTGAAACTTATTTTATAAAGTAGGCATAAATCTACAGTATGGACCAAAAGGAACAGACCAGGAAACAGGAGGCAAAGTAAGAATCTTTAGAAAAGCTTTGTGAATTACTGGGCATGTCTGACTACAACAGAGTTCATAGCCGGTTGCACACAGCGTATGTTTGACTCACCGTTACAGATGAAAGGATATGTGCTGGAACAGAGTCTTATATTCCACATACTCTTTGTTGTAGTCACACAGGAGCTCTGGACTTTTATTGATTGACTCGTATTGAAGTTACGGAATGAAGTCATCTTCATGCGCTGACCGTCTGACCACCTCCAAGACTCTCTGTACAAGCCAATCCATGCGTAGTCATCCACAAGCACATTGATTTCGTTGTTCTCGGATGTGTTCCTCACACTGGCCAGATCTGTGTAGTTTTCCCTGCAGTAAAGTTGAGCTTTGTCCCAAGACATTGGTGTCGTCACATAGATGTATTTTGGAGCTGAGCCTATATAAAACAAACAAAAGATATTTTATGAAGCTAATAGGACAGGTGCTCATAAATTTACTGAAATACAAATGCAAAAGGTTTAATGCTAAAGTATAAACTAGAAACAAGAGACTAATATGAAATATGTCATATATTAAGACTGCTCTTAAGGCCCATAAGAGACCATCACTTATATATATGTATATATAATATTACAAGTGGCTTCTCCAAATTAAACACAAATCACACTTGATGACCATCTTCAGTATTTAGCAGAGCGACCTTGCGGTCTTATTAGCTGCTGCAAACACTATAATACGCTCTTTAAGTGCAAAAGTCTCCAGTTAATTAATATTTTTTGGGAGGAGGGGGGGTGTTTTTATGCTGCAATCACTTTTTTGAAACCCCACTAAAATTTTCAATAGAGTTCAAGTCAGACAACTGTGGTGATATCTTTCTGAGTTTCTTTAAGCATCAAGTCTTGCTGAACTTTGAGATATACTCGGGGTCAAACTTGAACTTTCTCAAAAACAGGGAAACATTTTTTGCCCAGAATTTCCTGATAATTGAGTGAATCCACCTATCTGCCCACACTCTGCATGTTTCCTGTGCCACAGGAAGCAAAGTAACCCCAGAGTGTCTCTGAGCCACTTCACTGTATTGAGGCGTTTCTGTAGCGTTTCTGTCCATTATTCGCTAAAATTATGCAGGACATGAATATAGAGGGAGGAGAGGAGAAGTCGTGCAGCAGAGATCCCAGGGTTGGAAATCGAACATCAAGGACTAAAATCCTCTATAGGGGGCGCCATCTCCACCTCTACCACATGTGCCTCCCCAGCTTTACTTCATTCTTTCTGCTCCAGGCTGATCCAAAGGGCCCAAAAGATCCAGTTTTGATTCATCATGTCTCAGAGAACAAAATCCATCAACGTATCTGGCTTGTTTATATAACTGTGAACACTTTAGAGTGGACTCTAGCATTTTTAGATCAGTAGTGATGTAATCCCTTCAGGGTGTAACATGATTTTCACTGAAACTTAAGGTTTTAATTTGGATGTAAAAAAGCTCCATGCAACATTAGTGTCATTTAAATATTAATGCTCTTTTGTTTATTCTGTTTATTTCAAACCTAATTTGCAGTAAGAGTTGAAAACAACATTGAAACAGAGCCGCTATTGTTCTCTTACCGCTGTAGCAGACAAACGGTCTATCATAAGTGCACCAGTAGTCAGACCATGCAGCTTGTTGTTGTATATCAGCACACAGAAAATGATCGTCAGCATTGTTTGGTTCCCCTGAGTTCCACTTTCTAAAATCAGCCTGTCCTTTTTCATAAAATCCATCCTTTTCCAGAGACCACTTCCAGTTATTAACGTCACCATACAACCCAATCCAGAATTCATCAGTTTCGTCTTTGAGTATGTCCTTCACCCGGGCCATGTCTTCAATGCTGCTGATGGTGACCAGGTCTGTGTATTTTTCCCTGCAGTACCTCTGGGCTTCAGTCCAGCTCTTTCTTTCATTTACAACATGATACACTTGTGGAAAACATGGAGGGAGGACACACAACCCTGAAACAATAAACACAAGTTTCATCAAATGATAGCACTCAAAATAGACACCCTACTTTGAAGATCAGGCTTTAAACTTTCCTTATAGGCTGCCTTAGGTTATTCTGGGGTGTCACTGTAGTTGTGCTGATATAGGTTTAGGCTGCTGGAGGTCCTCATTTTCTTCTTCTACTACTCTTCAATTTGCTTTACTTGTTATTTCAACTGTAACATTTTGTTTTCTCTCAGAAGCTTCACCTGGTTTAGCTTTTTGAAATTTCTAAATGTTGAAAACATGAAACAGTGGTGAGCAAAAAGGCAAAAAAGAAGAAATTTAGGGGTAAATAACTCTTGACAGATCTAGGAATGAATCTTTCTTTTATTGATAATAGGAAACTCATGAATCTCCTCTTGCTGTCTAGAACTTGCTAGTGCTTTTTTCCATAGCCTTTAGAGCACAATTATGGGAAACAGTTAGTGTTTCTTTTTACTTTCATTTTATTTTATTTTTGTTTAGATTTCCACATTGTTGTCATGCACAGGAAAACGTTCTGGTAAAAATTAGATCTGTATATAGGACATTACTCATGGCGGACCGCAGTCTCGCTTCATGTGCAAATGAGATGTTGGCAGAAACTATAAATTGTACTGAAATATCTTTTGTAGTAGTTCTGTGGAAAATGATGTGAATTTGCATTTCTTTGCACATTTGACAGCACGAACTGATCCACATCCTATTATTCACAAGAATTTTGCAAGTAGTATTTTGTTCTACTTAAATCAAGAAGTAAAAAGCTTCCTGTGATAAAAGTGTAGTGTAGGCATTGAGATGCGATGTCCTGCAACTTCTAGATGTAGCTCTTCTTGAGCACATCTGAGTCGCATAATCAGACTGCAGATTACTTTGGAGAACTTGGCTGCATATTTCAGCCATTTGATTCAGGTGTGCTGGACCAGGGACACGTCTAAAAGTAACAGGACACCGGCCCTCGAGGCTTGAACTTAAAGATCCCTGCTAATTACTCAGAATGCAAAAATAATGAACTCCACACAGATAAAAATGATTTTCTGCACATCACCTTATAAAGTGAGAATTTTTAATCAGTTGTGTCTAATAGTGTGTTATCCAGCTGTGTATTTAAAAAGAAAGCAGCAAAACATTTTACATATTACCACGTCACAGGAAGATATTGCAAATTTAATGTTTATCTAAGAATAAAAATTCAAACAAAATCCACAAAGCTGTTACACTTACCGAGGAGAAGTGTGTATCTAATAGCGTTTCCATCCATAATGCATACAGAAGTTAACTGTGAGGACCTGAGAGTAAAATGAAGAATGGAGAAAACACTCAAAACCTAACAATAAAAGTTTATGTTTTTTCACCTTTGAAAAAAAAGTGGAACAATTATTGTTCCATAACTGTAAGAGAACTCTTGTTGTTTTATATGTAGAATGTTTTACATATAAAACAACAAGATGTTTCTCAAAAAGCATAAATAGTAAAACATGACAAAAAGCAGAATATTTTATGCAGATCATTAAAAATACATTAATATTAAAAGAGTATGAAAAGCATGTCAACTTTAATTCTGGCATGTTTGCACCTTTTAAATCTGTCAAAAATTACTTTATAGAAACTTGACAGTTACAGCAATTTAAACTAAATGATGCCTTACCTGTTCCTCACTGGAATTTTTCCCACGTACACAGCAGCTCGAGTCAAATGTTGGAGTGAATATGAAAGAATGTGCAGCGAAAAGAGCTTTCTATCTCTGCTTGTAGAGGTATGTATTTATGACACTATTATGCAAAGGTTGGATTAAGACTGCACCATATGCAGAAATCACAGAATTTGCATTACTCAGTTTGAAGTACACACATCTAGTTCTGTAAAAAGATTAGCTAATCAAATCTTTTGTTTGAGAATTCCACAAAGCTCATTTACAAGTTTTTATGGTTTTCAATTTTTTTTTTCTCCACAGAATAACAGTCTGAAAACTGTGGTGTACATTTTGTAATATCCCTAAAAAATCAAGTGCAGACAACTGCCATTGGGAGCCATGTAGTAAGTAAATGGAGTCCTCTTAAGCATAATTTAATTTCAGTATAAATGCAAATGGTAGTGAACAATGAGCATCATGGTGACTTAGCGACACTCCGGGGATAAGGTTATAGAGAATTAAAGCAGCTGTAGGTGATAAAACATTGTCCCAACCTTTAAGAATGTCACCAAACTCTATTTAAAGGGGTGGAATTATGTAAAATCAATTTTTTGAGCTTTACATCATTTAATTATGTTATTCCCTTATCAAAACCCGTTGCTTTGATTCTTTAAAAAAATTATTTAATCTTCCATAGCAACCATTTNGAGTNAATCCAGACACTAAATCAAAGAAGAAGAAAAAGCCTCTGGATAAGCAAATCTTATTGGAAAAAAAATACTACTTTGAATGTAGTGGAAGCACCATAGAAATTTGTGGCAACCAGTCTTCATCAATCATTGAAATATTCCAAAAATACATTGAAATATGTGGTTGTAACATAACAAAAGGTAAAAAAGTTCAGGGAGTTTGAAAGTTTGATACAATGTTGAGTTGTCTGGCAGTAATACATCTGCAGTTTAATAACCCTTGTATAATTAGATGAAATAATTCACAAATATCCACATTAGTTATTTACTTGAACAGGATATGCAGAACTAAATTGTCTTTCCTCTTAAAAACGAAACACGTTTCTAGTAACGCTTTAGTAAAGGGATAATGGCGCCCTCGTGTGGTCATGTACTATTATTGCAGAAACAAACCTGCGTTGTTGCTGTGCCACCGAACGGCCAGAGGTGGCGGTAAGACGTCACAGCAGCCACGACTGCTGCGCCGCCAGCGTTACCAATCGGGCTCAGAGAAAGAACCAGGAGGTAACAGGGGCCGCACAATTATCAACAGTAAAATAAGGGGAGTCGACGAACAAAACAAAACCCTTTTCTTCCACGGATTATCTGAATTGCCTTTTGCAGTCCTAACAGTTGGAGGAAACACGTCGACAACGTCATATACAAGGTATTTTGTTGTGTATTTACATTTGGTTATGAAGTAATAACAAGGAAATAAACAGTGAGCAAAGCGAGGCTGCGTGAAGCTGGCCTGCTTCTAAAGACAGGCATGGGTTTCAGCGAGGAGCCGCTGGCAGGCCTGGTTAGCATTAGGCTAAGTTAGCTTTCTAACCTAATATGCTCTGCGCATTAAATTAAGCTTTCCAGGCTTTACCCAGACGCATTTTAACACGGGTCACCCCAACTTCTGTCATAAAAGATTTGTGAGCTTCGAGCAATCCTGGTCGAGTTAAGACGCTTTCGGACGCTACCCAGCTGCAGCAGTAGCTCTGTTTGTTGGACAGTGATTGAAAGGTTATAGGCCACGTTAGCTTCTGAGCAAAGTTCAGCTCAACAGTGGAGACGACACAAGCGACCCTTGTTTTAACCGTGTTGTTAACGTGCACGGCACTGAATCGACTCAGGTGCGTTTTTGTTAGCGCTGCACACCATCACAAAGCAGGCATGGAGATCACGGATGGGCGGTGCTCACTGTCAGCTACCGAGGCCCTGTCTCCTCTCTCTTTCTCTCTCTCTCTTTTTTTTTTTACCAGTCTTTTCAGCTAGTAGCTGCAGTTTTAACAGAGAAAGGCGTCGCTGCACATTTATAAATAAGCTGATGAGGTTAACGAGCGCCAGCTATGAGTAATTGATCTGTGTGTCAGGTGGTGTGTGGAGAACCTGTTCCTGCCCGGACTGAAGGGTGTGTGCGCCACGGTGGAAGGTTTACGGGATTTCTCACAGCTTTATTTGCTTTCAGGAAGATGTAGACACTTCAGTCAACACCGCGGCTTGTTTCTGCAAGGAATGGAGTCAGTTTGGGCTGAGTTAATGTGAAACATGCTGCAGGTTGAGTTGCTTATGACTGTGCCACGCTGATATGTTTGCGTTCTTCCGGTGGAGCATCAAATTTTGAATCCTTATTTCAGCAGTATGCACTTTTTACAATAGGTTTTTATTTGTTTTCTTTTAAAATTATGTGTAGCTTTAACCCTATCATTGATGAAGCCAATTTAAAACCAGGAAGCACCCTCCTGTAAGCTGGTAATGTTTGTTTTAGATTTATCAGTGTTCATTTTTCATTATCTAATCCAACCTACGTCTTCCAAAGAACAAGAGGATTCTTTATGGTTCTGGCCAAGAGCAAAACTATTACAAAACTATACTCTTCTATACACAAATGTTGTTTGCATATGTTTTCCAAGTCCACCTAATCTAAATTTGATCCATGCATATTCTTATTTGTGCAGATAAAATAGTTAAGTCAAAGTTATTGAAAACAACTCTTGTAAAGTTCAAGTGTAGACACCACAAAAAGAAAATGCTTATAGTAGATTAAAATTTTATGAGAATCATTTAGAGAATAATCACAAGCTCAGTGTTAATTTCTCTGACTATGTCAGCCACTTTAAATGTTAATTGGTGCAAAATGTTTTTCTTTTGAGTCATATTTTTGCTTTTTTGTCAAAATAAAATCACATGGACCTCCTGAAGAGTCTCACCAAATTATCAGTTGCAGCCTTAGCTGTGGGCAGAATTGGTAGTAACTAGTTACATTTACTCAGTTACATTCACCTGAGTAACTTTTTTTTAAAAGTATTTTAGGAGTATTTTCACTACGCTGTACTTTTTACTTTTACTTGAGTAATTTTATTATGAATTATCTCTGCTCTTACTTGAGTAAAATTTCTTAATTCTCTACCCACTGAATGAATATCAAACATATTTTAACCAAACATTCAGCAGACCCAAACGGCTGGGGTTTTAGTTAAAATTTCATACCTTTTTTTTTTTTTTATCGAAAGAAACTGATTTATTAAACAATGATTTTGCCTGATGTTATTTTTTTGTTACTTATGTGAATTATTGCCATTTTTGTCCTTAAAATACCAACATTTTCACATCACTTTATGATTTGGTCCATTTGATGGTGTAAATATGAAATGATTGATCATTTGATCGATCATTGATATTGACTTTCTGAAGCTGTTATGATGAGAAGCTCTTCTGACGGATCCAAGGATTCTTAGTTTGCTACAGCACACAGTTTGGATCAGGACTTGTGGAGGGTAAGCGGCGACCTGCAGGTCTTGAACCTACCATATGTGTTGCCTCCTCATTTGCGTCACTGTTACTGAAGTGGGGCAGGAAGGCGTAGAGAGGCTGGGCCGCAGCCTGACCACTACATTAACGAGCTTTAGCCCCGTGGAAAAGACGGATTTGGCCGCCTGCTGACGACGAGGTGTGTCTGGGTCAGCAGAGATGTTAGCATGTCAAAGTGCACGGGTCATTAGTGAGACACGGTTTTATATTGCAGCTTAGTCACACATGACACATGCATATTTATAAATACATCTCCCACTTAGCTGCTACTCAGACATTATATTCCTGGAGCTAGCTTTGCTTTCTAAATGTGGACTCTGTCCAGACAGAGGAGAAAGTGGCGACCGCTCCAGATTTAGAGGAAGACTGCAGAACAAACGGTTGGTCTCCAACACATCATTTTATATCTGGCGAGTTATTTTTGCAATTTACTGTCTATTAAAAAAGTGGCCCTCATGATAATTTCACTTCCTGCTACGGCGGGCGTGAAATTACCGTAATAACCCGCTACTGGCTGGAAAGCGCAGCGTCTCCCCTTTCCGAAACCGTTGAAACTTTTCACATAGCGCAAAGTTTGGCAGAATTACGGTACCGCACATTTGGCTGGATCGTTTAGGACTTAAAGGTCTAATAAATGTGTTCATCTTGTTTTCATTAAGCACTGTTTTTGTGATCTGAAATATACATTTCACTGTAAAGTCCTGACGAGTTGGTTGGATGGGTCGGGCTTGTGCGTGTGATTCTGTTGGATCAGCCATTCCTTCATCTGATCCAGAACTACAAAGTTTTCCGTTATGGAAAAATCTTATAGGCGTGTTTTATTAATAAAAGCTTGACGGCTTAGATTTCTGAGTGAGAGGTCAGGCCCATACAAAGGTCTGAGATGATGTCATGGCTGATTATTCATCTTTTAACCAGGTGATTCACCAGGTTTAATCTCTACATGTGAAAGATTTAAAGGTCACATTTAGAAGTGATGTGTACAGGAAGTGAAATGATACACCTCTCCCTCCATTTGTCCTTGAATCATTGATTGAATTAGGTGTTGATTTAAATCATAAATCGGATATTAATGGTGTTTTTCAACAGGTTAAATACAGTATCTGGACACAAGGTTCCTATAATTTTGTACATTTCCTTCCTCAGGTGGACAGTCCGCTGCCTGGTCACTCGTGGTAACTCTCCGCCATGCCTTTTCCCTTTGGCAAGTCCCACAAGTCACCTGCGGACATCGTCAAGAACCTTAAGGACGGCATGACCGTGCTGGAGAAGCACGACATCTCCGATAAAAAGGCAGAGAAGGTAAAGGAGATCCCTCCAGTCCGACCTGTTTCCAACACAACCTGAATGTTGTGCTCGTGCATCAAAGTTTGGGGCGTCACAATCAGCTTTCATCCCTGATACCCATCCAAATTGTCTACATTTAGACATCTGTTGTTAATGCAAAGTCTGAACCTAATTTCTCATTAAAGTTAATGATTTTTATATGATTAAGTCATATAAAAACATGTTGTTCTTTATCAGATTTGAATGTCATTATCTCTGATCAAATCACAGTAACAATAGACACAAATCTTTAAATATATTTTTCTGTTTATGGCAGTAGTAGATCACTTTATTCTACTCACTTATTCTATCAATTATTTTGATTAATTGGAATAAAAATTGGCACATTTTGAAGATTTTCTATGAACTACTTAAACCTTTTCTTACATTAGAAATGCATAAAAAATGCAAATATAAAAAAAAAGATGAACATTTTATTACCTAAAATGCATTAACAGCATTCCTTTGTGTACACTTGATCACCTGCAGCAAAACAATCAACATGTGAAAAGTTTTCCTTCTTGACTGGGTTGAACATTTTTACAGACAAATAAGATTTTCCATCTTAAATGCAAAATTTGTGTATTTCTTATATAGTTTTGACTCATTTACTGCTCTGACTTTGTTGTTCTTTCCGCTAACAGCTGAGTCTACATACCCGAGTTAATGATTAATTGATTGCTAAATTAGTTGAAGATTAATCCGATTAATTGTCTCAGCCCTAATTAGCACAACACATGTATTAATACGAACCGTCACAGTGCAGATAGGAATTAATTTCACGCATATTTGTAACGCTAGAGGGAAACGTCTGAATCCGTTCACAACAGCAGCTGTGTAAATATGCTCAGTGTGAAGCCGGGCGTGCGGCTTTGGAGGCGCGAACGACACGCAGGACCAGCTTGTTTTTAATCAGCAGTTTGTAAAACAATCAGAAAGCCATTGCGTCAAATCGCTTGTTGCTTAGCAGCTTCTGATAATTAACAAGATTGTGTTTCACCTTTGATTTAATAACTCCAGTGGACACTAAATAAATCACCCAGTGATGTTTCACCTCATGTAAATGCTGAACATTTTACTATTATTTACAGAGAACCTATTAAAATATTTATCGCCTTATAAACATGCATGAAGTTGGTGCAGAGCTACCTGAAGCTAACATTCCTGGCCTGCTTTCTGTTCTTTACTCGTTCAGCTTATAGACGCTCTTGCCTGTAAGTAGATTGGTAGGTGACTTAGTGTTTAGTGGCACGTCGACATCTGGCAGGGAAGGAAGCTGGAACTGAACTCGCAACTTTCAGACTGCCAGATCTCTGCTCCTTCCCTGCTGCTTCAGTCGCCATCAGTTATTTGATTTATGACTGTAGGTCTCGTGTTTGGTTGAAATTGGATCAGATTTATTGCAACATGTTAGAACTTCCTTGTGGTATTAATGGTTTATATCTCACTTCTTAAAAAATTTGATTATTTTTTTATGTGAAAAAGTGAAACCTAGCATCTGGTTTCCTTTTTGCTGTTGTTCTGAGTCGTGACCTCAAAACTGAGGTACGAACCAAACCGCAACCATTACTTCCAGGTCCTCATGTTGCTTCACAGTCTGAGTTCAAAATGGGTTGAATTCAAGTTTTTATCCTAAAACTCTACACATTACAGTACTTTACATGTTTTCACAGCCTTTAACAATCTGATGAAGTGCCGTTAGCAGCAATCGCTGCCTCAAAGCTTCTTGAATATGATGGCGTCATGTTGGCACGCTGATCTTCAGCCGATTTCTTCTACATCTCCATCAGTTTAAATGGAAAACATCCTTTTTCAGACCTCTGACCAGAGGATTCACGTCGGGACTCTTTCCTGGGCCGCTGAAAGACATTTATAATTTGTCCTAAAGACACTTTTTGACTCCTCTCTGCTGAACCCCCAGTTTAGATACGAAATCACCATCAATAATCGAAGAGAAATGGAGTTTGTTATGCTTCACAGACGTTACCACTGCCGGCACTGCTGATAATTAAAAACATTTTTATGGTTTGTAGATCCTAACCTGGCAAAATGTTCTAGTCCAGAGCAGCAATGCGTCCAGTTTCCTGCTAAGTGGAGCGGCTTCATGAGCGGATGTTTGCGATGTTTCAGGCTGCAGAGGAGGTGTCGAAGAGCCTGGTGGCGATGAAGGAGATCCTGTATGGGACAAACGAGAAGGAGCCGCAGACAGAAGCGGTGGCACAGCTGGCCCAGGAGCTCTACAACAGCGGCCTGCTCAGCACCCTGATCGCCGACCTGCAGCTCATCGACTTCGAGGTGAGAGCTTAGTTTTGTGTAGGTCTGCCACAATAAAATTCAATTAATCACATGATAAATTAAATCATTTCAATTATTTCTATTAGCATAACTTAATGTTTTTCTCTTCCTACCAAAAACTGGATGACAAAAGTCTTCAGTCTGGTGCCTTCGTCTCAACTAGACCTTTTTTTTTTTTGAAGAACTATTTTATTTACAGATACTTCAAAATTAATTTTATTTATTTATTTTGGATATTTAAAATATCTTCCAGTTCCATTGTTAAATGTTTATTAGAATTTAAAGTTCATTGATCTTGCTTAATTATGCCATTTCTGTTACATTACTTGAAAAGGGGCTCAAAATAACAATATTATCGTTTATCGCAATAACTTCTGGGACAATTAATCGTCCAGCCACATTTGTTGTCCTGACAGGCCGATCTGAGTGAGAGGGAAGGAACGGGAAAATGTTAAATGTTTTGGATGATTCTTCATTATTTAAAGGAGAACATTGTTTAACATCAACTTTTTTTAAGTTTACATCTTGTTATAATGTTATTCCCGATCATAGCCATGTTGTGGCTATGATTGGGAATAATTTTTGTGAGAAATCTTTGCATCTCTCATGGCGCAAACGGCATGATGAGTAGCATTGTTGTGACGCTAAAGGCGGCGCGTCGGAAAGAGCAGGAGCTTCTTAAAGAGACAGAAGCCCAATTTCAGCACTCCAAATTATGAATAACTCCAAAGTTACTTTTGATATATACAACATTTTTGTAACAACTTAAGGCAGTATAGTTACTTTATTGTGCTATGAAATGGCACTGTGTGCCTGGAAAACACACAATACTGATTCTTTAACACACGCAGGATACTGCATGAGTAGAGATATGATTTCCTACACTGCAGAAGAGAAATATGGTTATTCATGACCGATGTGCCGGTGTTGATACGTGCTTTGGAAAATGTCAGGCAGCTGCTTCAGGCTGCTCTGACTCACCTTATCTATGAGTCATTGTGCTGAAAGAACGCTCATTTCCTCTTTTGCACTGGCACATCCTCCTTACTTCAGACAAAGAGCTGATCAAGGATTACAAATTATGCAAGACAGAAGCAGGACAGGGATTTAAAAGTTTTCATGTTTCTTTGTGAACCCACATCTTTCCTGTGGTCGCATGATGGACATTTTCGAATCAAAAAGCTGGGGATCCTGCAGAAACATTTTTGCTCTGCAGATAAGAGAAATGAATTGACGTAATGACCAAATAAGATGAGTGGCGTATGAGTCACATTAACGTCATTATTATATTGTCAAGTATTGGCTCCAAAATTAAAACAGTTGTATTGATAAACACCTACATGAGGTGGAATATCGTGGTGGCAGCATCAAGCTTTTGCTTTCCTGGTTCTGTCAGTTATTGACTGAATACAGCGCACACCACGCTTTCACTTTAAGCTTTTTAGTTCTAAAAATCTCTTAAAGCCATTTATCGATTTGTTACATAAAACCCACCTCTAAAAATAGGCTGGTGTGATTAAGACATCATGAATTTCAAAGGTCAAAGGGTACAAATACTTCAACAGGGAACCGTAAATAAAGAGAAGTTGTTCTGACAAAACTGGCACATCGGCTAAAATGTCTAAATAAGCATTTCTTCTGGATGCAAATGGTTCTAGTTGTTGCTGCACAGAAACAAAAAAAAAAGGGTTTGAGGAACTAAGAAAAAGGTCTGAATGAAATGGTTGTTTTTGTTTTGTGTCCATTAGCTCTTCCTCTCTGGCTGCTTTAGTTTCCTGTGCTGAATGACAATAACTTACATTATGATTTGCATCAGAAACGGCATAAAAATGACACAACAGTGCTACACTTACCGTTACTGACATTCTCAAATAGTCAGACTAATATTGTTGAATCTATTAATGATTATAAGACTCCTAATAGCATCAAAAATACAACTTGAAGCTCGAGTTTCATCATGATTTGTCTCAAGCATCTGTGGTTGATATTTTTATGTTTCTGTCGCTAACAGGGTAAAAAGGATGTAGCCCAGATCTTCAACAACATCCTGAGGCGCCAGATTGGCACTCGAACACCTACAGTAGAGTACCTGTGTACCCAGCAAAACATCCTTTTCATGCTGCTGAAGGGGTAAGAGTCCAGGCTGATGTTTTTTTAAAACTTTTATTTTATTTCTTGTTTAGTATAATTTAAAATTTGTTCCAAATGATTAAAGTTGTTCAGCCTTTTTGATGTTTCCTGAGGTTTTGCTCTCTCTCACTCTTTTGCAGCCTGAATGAACTGCAGACATGTTTTGATGTGCTGTAAAATACTTTCCTCTCTGGAATCTCTTCTTCCTCAAACTTCGTTTTTAACACCTCATGATAAAGATTGTAGCTAATCAGATAATTGCATCCATAAAGTTAAACCAGGAGTCTGACAAAGTGACTCTGGACTTTCCACAAGAGCTTAAAATTTGATAAAGAGCCAACTAATGTTTTTAAGTATAGATAATAGATATAAAACAAATGCATGCTAGTTTATTTCAAGGAACAATTGCATTGAATTTCCACAGCAAAATGACACTAAAATTACTTTTAAAATATTTTTTCTTGTCTTTATTTTGGCAAATATGTGCTTTTATTTATTGACATATCTTCCGCAAATGTCAACATCCCATAAAAGAAAATGTATCCATATTTTCTTTATTTTAAAATAATAAAAAACAATTCTTTTAAAAATAATAAGCACTTTTCCTATAGTAGATATTTATCAGAAATTGTAAATTGCCTTTGTTCTGAGCATTTCATTCTAAATTTGTGGCTCTAAACGGCTTCTTAGCTTGACGGAGGGTAAAAACGTCTCTTCGCATTGTGAGGGCTGCAGACCCCTGTGCTAAACGGTAAATCACTGCTTCCTGCAGGTACGAGTCTCCGGACATCGCCCTGAACTGCGGCATCATGCTGAGGGAATGCATCAGACACGAGCCGCTGGCCAAGATCACGCTGTGGTCGGAGCAGTTCTACGACTTCTTCAGATACGTGGAGATGTCCACGTTCGACATCGCCTCCGATGCATTTGCCACTTTCAAAGTAAGTCAAGCAGCTGATGGTGAATCGAGCAGCACTGGCTCTGGTGTAAGAACACTGTAAAACGACTAAAATATTATTTTCAAATGACTTTAAGTGATGAGCAGAAATGAAGTTGAGTGCATCATTAGCCCATCTTCCTTCTAATAGTCCTATAGTTGTGTCTAGGTTATTTTATGAAAATGGAGGTTATTAATGTCACTATTATAAATGCCTTTGCTGCAGGATGTTTTACCTGTTTTGTTAAAGCAGATGATAATTTTATAATGAGGCGTTTATAATGGGTTTTCTGTTGGAGCGGCTCAGATTTAGATGCATTTTGTCCATTTATAATGGACAAAGTGCATCAAATCTGTGGCAGCTTCACCTCTTTCCAAAATATCTTACGCTGCATTAAAGATTAAGAGTCAGCCTTACTGCAATCTAGGTCTGGAGTGATTAATTGTGATGAATCAGTTATTGGAATAATTGTTAGCTGATTTAGTAATCAATTAATCTTTAACTGGAGGATTCAGATGAAAAAAAAGAGATGATTTTCTGAAAGAACAACATATTCAGAGCAGTAATTAAGACAAAACTGTACAAAAATATGAACATTTTGCATTTAAGATTTTAAAAGCAAAACTTGTGAATAGTTTTAGCTTCACCCTGTTAAATTCTGTGAAAAAATATTAATTACCTTTTGCTATCCAATTATTAAAGCTGAGCTTTTCACATGTTGATGTTGGCAGGATTTCTTTAGCTGTAGCTCCATCCTTTGCTACAAACAGTATATGTTTCTGTTTCCAGGACCTCCTCACAAGACACAAGCTACTGAGTGCTGAGTTTCTGGAGCAGCATTATGACAGAGTGAGTTCACACACAACTCTCTAAGCAGAGAGGGAAGTTTTAAGGGTTTAAAATATGAAAACACTTTGCAAAACCAGTTGCAATTGATTTAAGCGTTAGTCATAATAGATTTCTAGAAGAAATCTGCAGCTGCTTGTTGAACTTTGTAGGTTCACTTTTCCACTGAAACCCAGAACTTTAAGAGCAGCAGATGAACACTTTGTCTGGATGATCAGCTTGTCACCAACTTCCTCCTTAACAAGTCCAAAGCAGCCATTTGGGACACCGTTTGCAGCATGAGAACACAAAGTAACTGTCAGATTGTGTGGGAGATTTTTTTTGTGTGTGTGTCGATATCAGACGGAGCAAACGCTGTGAAAGTCTGTGCTTGATCTCCTTCTTGTCTCTAACCACAGCCATGTTTCTCTCTCCGCCTCCTCCAGTTTTTCAGTGAATACGAAAAGTTACTACACTCAGAAAACTATGTGACTAAACGGCAGTCCCTCAAGGTAAGAACCCCGGGTTGCACGTATAAAAAGATCTCAGACTGAGGCAACTCTATTTAGAGAGTGATTTAAGGAAGAGCGTTGGGTTTCTTCGAATGCATCCATCACCTCATGTCTGCCATCTAGTGGTTGGACAAAAAACAATACTCACTATTTTAACCGAAGCAATTTCCTTTGAGGTTTATTTGACTTAATATCTGAATACTATGACTATAAATGAATCATAGTCAATACTAAACATATAACCTTACATTCAGTTCACAATACAGATTTATATTGATCATTATTGACCACAAAGAGAGGACCTTCAGTTGTAAAATCTGAATAATTACTCTAGTTTGGCTTAACGAACAGAATTTCACCATTTTTAATTTGTCTTCACTTTGTCTCTCTAAAATTGTCTAGTTGCTCGGGGAGTTGCTTCTCGACAGGCACAATTTCACCATAATGACGAAATACATCAGCAAGCCGGAGAATCTCAAGCTAATGATGAATCTGCTGCGGGACAAGAGCCGCAACATCCAGTTTGAGGCTTTCCATGTGTTTAAGGTAAAGATGAGCGATACTTGGTCAGGGACAGAAGACGGATTAGAGATTTTATATCGTAGGGAATGTTTGTGAGCGTGTAGTGTTTGTGAAATGTCCCTCAATTTATGGACCTGGAAAATCTCAGGTTTTTCTGCTCTGCAGTGTATTTAACTTTTCTTCAGTTGCGTCTCAATGCTTCATCGTTTTACTGTGGGCATTTCTGGGATAACTGATAACTGTGACAAAGGGCTGCAGCTGTTTAATCACTTTTTTTGCATGAAGGCAGTTAATATGCTTGGATACAAAACTCTGTGAACAACCAGCTTCTTCAGGAATGACCTTTTGGAGGTTTACCCTCCTTGTGAACGCTGTGGATGACGGCAGCGGTCCTCTAGTGGTTGTGTAGCGGCTGACCCAGAGTCAGAAACCGTTTAAAGGCTCAGGAATCCTTTGCATGAGTTTCGATTTACTTAGCTGATTAGGGTTTGACATCATGAGTTTCCAAAAATGACCTTTTTCACAGTATTCAAATTGAGTTTTCACTATTTATAAACCTTAAGCCATCAAAACTATAAAAAAAAAAACAGAAGCTTGTGATATATTTATGTGATGATTTAATATAATATGAGTTTCTCTTTCTGAGATGACTGGCAAGAAATGTCTCACTTTTATGCAATATTTACTTTTTTTCAGCTGTATCTTTAATAAGGCTGGGCAATACAGAGATTTAATCTAATTTTCTGTTCATAAAGATTTCTTTTTTTTCATAATTGCACTAGTTGGGTTCAGTGATACCATTTTGTTTTTCCATCACATTTTACAGCTTATATTTAGTTAGACTTTTAATTCAGCTTAACTCCCAGATTACTAAAAAATAAGGACGTTTTTGAAAATATTTTCCAGCAGTTGTCATTTTTTTTAAAGAAAGGAAATAAGTCTTAGATGTTAGTTTAAAGGTATATTGCTCAGCATTAGCCTGTAATATACAATATATAACGATTAACTTACATTCTCACATTAAAAACACGGGTGTATCGACTCTCGTCTGTTTGTCCTCGTCCACCTCCAGGTGTTTGTGGCCAACCCCAACAAGACGCAGCCCATCCTGGACATCCTGCTGAAGAACCAGGCCAAACTCATCGAGTTTCTCAGCAAGTTCCAGAACGATAGAACGGAGGACGAACAGTTCAACGACGAAAAGACTTACTTAATCAAACAGATCAGGGACCTGAAGAGGCCCGCCCCGCAGGAGGCCTGAGGGGGCGAGCGGCGGGGCGAGGACGGAGCCGCCAGGAGCTGGTCTGGAAAACATCCAGACGGCGTCTGCTTAACGGAGCCATCGGCAGCAGCTGCTCTGGTTTCTGAACAAAAACTGAGGAACAAAAACAAAACCAACCCACGTCAGCTCACCAGGAAGTCGCCAGCTCTTCTGCCCCTCAGAACATTTAAGATTTTTTTGTTTTTATCCTGTCTTTCAAAAGATGTCAGAAAATACTAGTAGATGCTGCTGCTGCTGATTTATTATGTTGCCACAACAGTTCATCACACATAAAGAACAAATCCACACATTCAAACTAAGGCGGGCTTTCTGAGAGGTGCGACAATAATCAAACAGATACGCACACAAGCAAATAATAATAATAATAATAATAATAATAATACATGCGGCCACAAGCCGCCACTGAAGACATTGGGATAAACGGTACGAACAAGAGCTTCAGAACTATTGTTGCATGCCTTGAAATACGACAGATCCGTGACTGGCGCTGGTGCTGCAGCCTCTGGCCGCCGCATTCAGATTCCTGCGCATCCCAGCGGCCGCTTTGGTTTGCATCTTGGCCTTCATCTAACAGAGCAACCAGATGCCATCAGAACCATTTATTACCTCCTGTGCGCTTTATGACACAGCGCTTGAAGCACAGCTGAGGAGGGAGGGTTGTAGGGTATAAAGTAGTTAAAGCCCGTGATTTGGGTCATTTTTATTTTTTAATTATCTGGGACAGGGTGATCGTGTACATATGCCTTTTTTTGCTTTGTAGATTTTTGTTTAACCTTGACATAAATATATATTATATATATATATCTCACCTTAAACAAACTGTTTTTGGTTGTTATCAAGTTACTTTCTGGAGCTTAAGAAAAGTGACATTGTTTCCGCATTTCATTTTACTGGTGAAATGATTGCTGGTTGGGTTGCTTTGTACATAACTTAAAGGGCCAGCTCACATTTAGCTAACCTATAGGATCTTTAACAATTTGTACAGCAGAGGAATGTCATAGTAACAGCTCTGGGTCTGTTCATTTACATTTTGAGGACCTCTGCAGAAAATGTGCAGGGGTGCAGTGCAGATGGGGAGTGGAGGGAAGAGCAGAGCATTAACAGCAACATTAAAGCGTGTGTGTTTGCACTTTGCGAGGTGCTGGGTGATTCGTTTCTCCGCCTCACCGGGGCGGTTTTTCTTCTGCTCCTCGTTTTCTTACCGCTTCAGTTTGTAACATCAGAGTGCCATGTTAGCCCCCCCACCCACAGTTTGTGAGCTTCAAGTGGGACCGGATTATAACGCTCTCACCGTCACCCTACTCTTTGTGTTTTGAGCCTTTTTATAATTCCAGTACAATGGTGAGCGTAAAGCATTGTGGGTAGCAGAGTGCTTTTGGGTTTGCTGAAGCTGAGAACAACTGATTTAAACCACACGTATTGTCTTCGTTTGCAGTGAGTGACGTTCTAAAAAGCATCTCGGAGCAGAAAACACTACAGTAAGAGCCTGGTGTCCCCTTCGTTCACTCTGAACATGCATGTTGCTTCACTGGTTCTGCATGATGCTGCACTAAAGATTGTACTGGAATTGCCCCCCCCCCCCCCCCCCC